CAGCTCATCTACTCCTGTAGTCTAGGCCATTACAAAGAAAATACGCCTATTTTGTACTGTGAAGAACAAAGTTCGGGAATTGCTGGGACTATTTTCAACCTAAAACAGTCTTACTAATTAGTTATCGCATTGATAACATCCTTGTGGGATTTTCAGCCTTTCAACATCCAATATACTTAGGCCATTGAGGGTGCGGTTGGGGTAGCCGCAGAAGGTTACATCCCATGGTGAGAGCGTACTCAATCCCAAGACTATCAGTTCACGTTTTTGTGAGAATCCTACGTCTTCAGATTGTGGGTTGGTTTTATGCAGAACTTTCAGAATTACCTTCAGGAAGCGCTGCTCTTCCTTCTCTGGGGAAACTTGATGTCTTCGAATGCGCCACGTCTGCTGATCTCCTTGAGTGGGTTTGCATCCTTTGCCGCTACGTAACGAATAAATCGGCCCGATTCCAGCTTCAGTTCGCATGGCACCGGTGCCACATCCTCAATATTCGCAGAAAGAACCACCATGATTGCCTGTAATCGAGAAATGAAAGAAAAGAAGGGGGAGGGAATGGAACTCCCGTTCAACGACCGCAACCAACGAAATGAAACATTTCGGACGAAAAGTACGTATATCCTGCCTGATGAGCATGCTTAAAATTTGGAAAAAGACGAAACAGGAAACGATTGACGACAGATACGCGCAACAGAGAAAATGTTGAACAGATTGAGCGATAGCTCAGGAGTGGTAGCGAAGGAAACAATTTCACATGAGAAAATAGAAAAATACGAAAATCCGAAAGGTTCCCGAAAGCGAGTAAAAATTCAGCAAGGATCCTGTGGCCAATGAACCACATATGTACAAGGAAATGATGTGAACACCTCCTACTCCAAAACGGCTGCTGAGCTGTATTTTGTTACCGCCGAGTATCAGCTACACAACCAGAGTGAATACTCCGCTTCAGAAGGGCCTTTATGTCCCCTCCATCCACAACTGTTGTTTACATAGGTCTCTGGTCTCTGAAGACGCGAACCGAAAACCGCTTCTCAAAAACGTGATGCTATTTCTACGGCGTCACGTCTTGAAGAAGCAGTGTTCGACTGGTGTTTGAACCGATCTAAAAAATCAGTGCATGTTATTCTATTGAATTGAAGCTATAAATATGGGAATTGCTCATAAGATCAAAATACGTTACTTTGATAACTGAGTATAAAGTACGGAGTGTGTAGCTCATGGGACATTTGAGTGTGACCAAATGACTACTTCCCGCACTTCACACTCAGTGGTC